TGCACTATAAGAATATAGATCCAGGCCCATGGGAGTTCAAATTCATACACAAAAAAAACCCAATATGTCAATAATGATGACAGTGCAGAGAATAATTTTATATTATGTTTAAAAGCATCTTCACCAATGCTATTGCTTAAGTGGAAATACAAAAATGTTACTGGCACAAGACGTTATATCTTGAAAATGACAGTGTATGAAAAATGAAAATTTAAAAAGGCAGAAAAATCCAGTAAAGCTGCCATTCAAACATTTGATTTAGCTGTAGTCACATACCATTAATCACCCTAGTGAGTTTGAGAATAATAAGGCGCAATGTTATTCATCAATAGCATTAATGTGTACAACACACAAACTTTTAGAAAATGTATCTGGAACATTGGTAAAACTAAGGGAGTTCAAAGTCACAGTTCGAAAATTCCAATGTGAGTGTTTTATGTTAAGTCATATAACGGCGGCTTGGGAGTAAATCTATATTATAAAAGCAGATCAGCCGAAGTCTCCTTTTCACGTTTTCCTCCCAAACTACAACGACCTGCTGACAACTGACAAGTGTTAGCAATACCTGAGGACAGACAGAAGATAGTGGCCATAGTTTGAATTTGATTATAACTTTTAAAATTATATTTTGAAGGCGTTTTCTACCCTTTGACGATTTCCGTAAAGCTTCGGCATGTGTGACAGGTATAAAATATTGCCAATAATACCACATCAGATAGCAGGATTTGCTGGCCCCTGGGCTGCCAAACACGGAAACCAGTCACTACAACTACCCATCTTAGTGACTATATACTAAAAGCCAGCTACGCGAGGACATTAGAGGAATAACAATTGTCCCTTGTAGCCAAAAATCGGATTTCCCTGGGGTAAAAGACCGATATTTCCATACTTACCAATAAAATCTGTTCCTGCATTCAAAGTTAGTCCATGTTTTTCCAGCAGTATTTCCGTATTATCCACTTAAATGTCAAAAAGGATGCATAGAGGAATTTTTAGACATACAATACATAATCAGAATTACGGCTGAGAACTAAGAAAAATTTTATTTTAAAAAAGTATATATTACTTCCTTCAGCTAATCTAGAATTTCCCAGATTTACATAGGAGAGTATTGTATAGCTCTTAGCTTTGTGCATTATAATGGTTTTTAATTTACCAAAAAGCTTCTGTTGTATAAGAACACACAAAAAAATCGGTATTACATTGATATTGCCCCGGATGTGGTAATCGACCCCAGTAGGAATATGTTGCGAAATGTGCCGGATATGTTAAGGGATAGCTATAATAACTGTGGTTCTATGTTCTTTGTGGTTCTAGTCTCAATCTATTAATTTATTCTCATGCCCATGAATCTGGGCCAGGTGCCAGTTACTTGATACAGAGAAAATATATGTCCATGTATCAGGATGAATATTTAACATTTTATATTACGCAGTGTAAACTTATTTTTTACGCTTCAGTTATCCCACTATCAAACTGAACCACTGCTGACAGTTGTAGTTTTTACAAACCAGCATGGTCACCACTCTCTTCGTTTACTCTCTGGCAATTCTAAAGTACAAAAATGACTTGTATGGCTTGCAATGTTGATAAGATCATCTTGGGTGGGAGGGTTGTGAGATTCTCTCTCATCCTGTGACCATTGTTTTTTTTTCTCTTTCGCCAACTTTTTGTATGTGTGATAACATTATTTGACGTCGTTTTGATACCGCCCTCCCCCACTGTTTTGTAACGTTTCCTCATATTAAAGAATTACAATTTTCAGATACCATTTACTTTGGAGAAAAAGCAGAGCTTCGTTGTGTTTGTGAAGATATGCCTACATAAAACGATTCAAACTAACACACCGGGCTGCACTATCCAGTACTTATTGAGACATCTACTGAAAGCGTTTGTATATGAAGTTAATTTTTTGCAACAGAAGCCGGCCAAATGCTACCGTATAGTTTCAAACAGTATATCTTACATATTTACCAAAGGATATCGTTTCACACTTCCCCAAATATTGTTATTTGAACGAATATTTTCTGCGTACAATATGTGTTTATGTACAGCCGGGGCAGATAACTACTTGAATTAACGACGAAAAAAATAAATTGAAGAATGTGCAGTTTTATAGTTTTTTCATGGTTTCTGAAGTGAGTAAATCGGTTTATCCCTGTCAACGTAATTTGAGTGGTTTATATGCGTTATTGTGAATCTCCGGTTACTTCGAGTGTATCTTTCAACTAGCACTGTTTATCATACAACAACTACTGTACATATACTTTACATTTAAGATATACAAATTTTATAGATTTAATTTTTTTTTAAATTTAAATACTATCAGTTTTATTAACTTATATTTACATGGTAGTTAGAAAGCATTTAAATGTAAAAAAACAAAACATGTCTGTGCTCTGTAAATTATTATTATTACAGACTTGACATTTAATATGGAATATTTTTTCTAAATCATTATTCATTAGTTTTTTTCCTATTTTGCAGACTGATAAATAAAAATAAGGATTAAAATCGTGTTTTAATAACTTTTGATAAAATGTTCCATGTCATTGCGACATCAGTTCTTTAATTGACTTCGCCAGTGAAGCAAACAAAAATGCATTGCCAATTTTAAGTCATGCGACAACCATTGAAAGCGATATTTTGGATCTCCATATCTTCCAAACTATCGTCTTTAAAAGAGTTCAACGACACACAAAGGACCCTCATGTCAGTGTCTAGTCACAGTAACAGTCGCTGCTATGCCTGACCTTATCTTCCTGCTACCAGAGCTTTCAAGAGGCAAGGCATTTCTTGCGATAGTTTTTTAGAATCTAATCTGGAATAAAATTCCAGTCAACGGTTATAACTTGTCCAATTTGGTTCAGTTTTGTTGTAGGACATGCAGGCCGTTGATTTNATTTATTTATTTATTTATTTATTTATTTTAATTGTGCATAAATGCTCCGGACTGTTGAGCACTCTGTGCCACACTCACGCTTGTTATATACACATATGCTTTATTTTATTTTATACTTGATCTACTTGTATAACATCTAAAACATAGTACCACTAATGGAAATTTTCAATATCGTTACAAGCTACGCAAATATAACTATATACATAATTGACATTTAATGTGGCATATTTTCTCCAATTCATAATAAATCAGTTTTTTTCTCCTATTTTGCTGACTGATAAATGAAAATAAGGATTAAATCGTGTTTTAAAAAAACTCTGATAATCTGTTCGATGTCATTGTGACATCAGTTCACTAATCGAATTCGCAAGTGAAGTAAACAAAAATACATTGCCAATTTAAAGTCATGCGACAACCATTGAAAGCAATATTTTGGAACTCCATATTTTCCAAATTATCGTCTTTAAAAGAGTTACACGCCCCACAAAGGTCCTTCATGTCAGTGTCTAGTCACAGCAATGGTCCCTGTTACACAAGACCTCATCTTGTTGCTACCAGAGCTTTCAAGCGGCAAGGTATTCCTTTCCTTAGAATAGGTTTTTAGAGTTTAATCTGGAATAAAATTCCAGTCAACGGTTAAAACTTGTCCAATTTGGTTCAGTTTTGTTGTAATTAAGACATGCAGGCCGTTGGTACAGCTAGTAATGACCTACCACATATTGTCTATGTGGTTCAAATATGGCGATTTTGATGACCAAGGTAACTGCTCATTCCCTTGGTTCTACAATTTATCTGCTGTTAAAAGTGCTCTGTGTGAACCGGCGATCTCATCGTGCGACCTAAAATTGTTCCTAAGGTGCCTCATATCAGATGATGGTCAAGTGGTTTCCAGAGTATTCCTTTATTTGATTTGGTTCAGGTTTTCATCATTGACCCATTAGTGTTTTGGCACCAATGTGGTTTCCACTCCAAATAGTACTGTGTACAGAGCTTCCGTTTGAAACAATAATCTGTCTGGAAATGTCTGTATTTTTCGCGCCATTCTGGCACAGCTTAAA